GTTCAGCATCTTTGCTTCGAGCATCCTCCAGTTCCCTGCTCGTTTGCTCCGTGTTCATACCGTCAGCGATCCGTGAATTTACCGAGTATTCAATTAAAACCCGTGTAATGAACCAGTGTATGTGTGAGTGGCAGGGGTGGTGTGACAGTGATGTCTGTCATGACCGCAAACCTGCACCCACACGGCCGGTGGCTGCACCTCAATGCTGCGTTCACATGCTGCCGGAAATACGGCGATCTTGGTGCCTCCGAACATCCCCGCAGAGTCTAATATTTACTGTGGAGCTTTTACATTCATATTTTATCTAAAGAGTTTGAAAGTCGTTTGTTTATAGGATCCCCATTAGTCTTACTCTGTTCAAAGAGAACACATAGGAACGACACTGTAAAGAAGAGCCTTACAGCACCAGGGTGCATTTAACAATAGAATTACATCAACACCACACGCACAAAACATGGAAACAGAAACATTTAAACAGCTTGAATTATTTTTCAGTTTTTCAGACTTGTACCTGTTCCTCTTCAAAACTGTTTTGTTTGACTTGCACTCAAAGAGGAGAGAAGGTGAAAACGCCTCACCAGTGGATGCTCCTTAGCTCTTCTGTCCACTGTGGCATTATTGGCTTTATATTTTTCACAAAAAAGAAGTTGTGATGATTTTTTTTACCTCTGTCACACAAAAAACTGAATATATGAAAAATGGGTATTATTTGCGTTATGTTTCATTATCCCTATGGAGCTGTGATTCATAATGTACACGCCTCAGTTGAGTTATATGTATTTGAAAAGAAATGTTAAAGGCATGGCAAATAATGCAGCCTATTTTTAACCTATTTTTATGTTGAACACTGCTGCACATCATATTGAAGCAGTGCAATAACAGATGTTGCCTGTTTTTTCACTTATCATTTTTATAGTAGGCTACTCCAAAGTAGCTGCTGTAGTCTGATTTCTAATAAATACTACTTGAATGTGCTGACAGCAACACATTTCCCAGCACACAGAAGGCATCATTAAACCTGATGGGTCCAGTTTTTATTCTAGTGGCGTCAAAAGGAAAAATAAAGTAGAATTAGAAAAAGGATCTGATCTAATGAGCAGAGTGAAGGGTGACAGTACGCTTGTCCTATATTGTGATTATTCATAAACTAAAGTTTTTATGGCTGTGAAAGTGGGTGTCACTGGGTGTTAAGGGTTTTTCTAGAATGTCCAACACCCTTTCATAGCATTCAGAAGTGTAAAACCAGAGAGAACCCGTTTCCTTTTAAATAAACGTATTTACATTAAATAAACGCATCCTGTCATTTTACTGCGATGAAAATTGTGTCCCAGTGTCCGTTTACAAATTTTGTGGATATGCACATCCACGCTGTAACAAAAGACACTTCTCTCTTAGAAAACATATTCAGAAACGACATACAGTGGGTACGGAAAGTATTGAGACCCCCTTAAATGTTTCACTCTTTGTTATATTGCAGCCATATGCTAAAATCATTTAAGTTCATTTTTTTCCTCATTAATGTACACACAGCACCCCATATTGACAGAAAAACACAGAATGTTTGACATTTTTGCAGATTTATTAAAAAAGAAAAACTGAAATATCACATGGTCATAAGTATTCAGACCCTTTGCTCAGTATTTAGTAGAAGCACCCTTTGGAGCTAATACAGCCATGAGTCTTTTTGGGAATGATGCAACAAGTTTTTCACACCTGCATTTGGGGATCCTCTGCCATTCCTCCTTGCAGATCCTCTCCAGTGCTGTCAGGTTGGATGGTAAACGTTGGTGGACAGCCATTTTCAGGTCTCTCCAGAGATGCTCAATGGGGTTTAAGTCAGGGCTCTGGCTGGGCCATTCAAGAACAGTCACGGAGTTGTTGTGAAGCCACTCCTTCGTTATTTTAGCTGTGTGCTTAGGGTCATTGTCTTGTTGGAAGGTGAACCTTCGGCCCAGTCTGAGGTCCTGAGCACTCTGGAGAAGGTTTTCGTCCAGGATATCCCTGTACTTGGCCGCATTCATCCTTCCCTCGATTGCAACCAGTCGTCCTGTCCCTGCAGCTGAAAAACACCCCCATAGCATGATGCTGCCACCACCATGCTTCACTGTTGGGACCGTATTGGACAGGTGATGAGCAGTGCCTGGTTTTCTCCACACATACCGCTTAGAATTAAGGCCAAAAAGTTCTATCTTGGTCTCATCAGACCAGAGAATCTTATTTCTCACCATCTTGGAGTCCTTCAGGTGTTTTTTAGCAAACTCCATGCGGGCTTTCATGTGTCTTGCACTGAGGAGAGGCTTCCGTCGGGCCACTCTGCCATAAAGCCCCGACTGGTGGAGGGCTGCAGTGATAGTTGACTTTCTACAACTTTC